GAATAAGGACCTTAAGGAAACCTTAAAAAATACCACCATTTCAGAGTATTTATTTGGTAAAGAGCTAGAAACCACCATAGAGGCTGCAAAGAAGCTTGAAAAGTCTGGGGAGCAGCTGAAGATTAAAAAATATAAGCCATCGTTTTCCACCATGGCCACTACTTCAAAACAGGGAAACTTCCGGCGCCCATTTGCAAAGGGAGTGCAACAGATGGGTCAAAAAGTTCAGAGACGCACTCCATCGCAAAACAACAACCCGAGAAGATCCAAGACTCATTACTATTCTCAGAGTCATCGTATCAACAGCAGCGTCGAGAGGAGACGCCGTCATTGAATGATTCAGTGGAATCACTATCACAGCAGCAGCAGTGTCTAGATGTGACACAGTTCTTAGAGGTTAGTAAGCCGTGTGGCGGATTACTACCTTTTTCCAATAGGTGGAAAAAGCTAGGTTTTCATAAGAAGGTTATTTCATATATAACTGGTCTAAAAATTCCTCTTATTAACAAACCCAGACAAAAAACGGCTCCTTTAGAGCCCTTAAGGTCAAAAAAAAGAATGTGATGCTATTGATATTATTATTAAAAAATCCTTGCAAGAGGGAATTTTTTCTATAGTAAAACCCTGTAAAGATCAATTTATTTCAAATGTTTTTATCGTGCCAAAACCTGATGGCACTAATCGATTGATCATTAATTTGAAATCCTTTAACACATTTGTAGCAGCATCACATTTTAAGTTGGAAAATCACAGGACAGTTACCCAGATAGTTACACCAAACTGTTTCATGTGCAATATTGATTTGAAGGACGCCTATTATTTAGTACCAATACATGATTCACATAAAAAGTACCTACGTTTTCAGTTTAAGGGCTACATTTATGAATTTAATTGTTTGCCATTTGGATTGAGCTGCGCGCCTCTAATTTTTACGAAGATTTTAAGGCCAGTTGTATCTCATCTTAGAAAACGTGGGTTACTCTCCGTCATATATTTAGACGATTTTCTACTTCTTGGAAGAACTTACAAAGAGTGTGTAGTTAATACAAGGGAAACTATTAAACTCTTAGAATACTTAGGCTTTATTATAAATTATAAAAAAAGTTCTCTCATTCCTAATCAAAGTTGCGTTTTTCTTGGTTTTCAATACAATTCTATTTATATGACAGTGTCATTACCCGAAGAAAAACGTGCTAGGTTGCAAAAATTGTTACTACGTTTTACTAAAACTAAAACTTGCACCATAAGAGAGTTCTCCAAATTTATTGGAAATTTGGTTTCAGCCGCTCCAGCACTAAAATATAGTTTTTTGTACACTAAACTATTTGAACGTGCCAAAATGAAGGCCTTATATCATGTTCAGGGAAACTATGACGCAAAAATGAATATTTCCCCGCATTTGTTATCTGATTTGTCTTGGTGGCTTAAACACGTCACTTTATCGAATAATTCCATTCATAATGAGGAATTCGCTCTTGAAATCTTTTCAGACGCTTCTAAATCTGGGTGGGGGGCGTACTGTGAAGGTAAAACTACATTTGGTTTCTGGTCACTTCAAGAAAAACAAAAACATATTAATGAATTGGAATTATTGGCAGTCTTTTTTGCGATAAAGTGTTTTACGCAGGGTCTATCTGATTGTTATATTCTATGCAGAATTGATAACACCACTGCAGTTTCCACTATTAACAGATTTGGAAGCGTACGGTTTCCAGCTCTGAATAAATTAGCCAGAAAGATCTGGAATTACTGCGAGAGAAAAGATATAATTATCTTTGCATCATATATTAATTCCAAAGATAATGTACATGCCGATAGAGCCTCCCGTCAGATTCACGGAGAAACAGAATGGTCAATTTCCGAAGCTGCCTTTTCAAAAATTTCCAGTAAATTTGGTGACCCGAAAATTGACCTGTTCGCAAGTCGCATTAACAAAAAATGTAAACTCTTTATATCATGGTTTCAAGACCCGGAGGCTCACGGAATAGATGCTTTCACCTTAAGTTGGAATGGGTTGAACTTTTATGCTTTTCCACCCTTTTCCTTAATATTAAGAACGTTGCAAAAAATAATTAGAGATAAGGCGGAAGGCATTGTCGTTGTACCTCGATGGTGTTCACAACCCTGGTACCCACTATTTAAATCCTTATTGATACAGGAACCCCTAGTTTTTGGCCCTAACGAAACTCTACTTTCATTTAGCGGGACCCCACACTCCTTATGGAAAAACCTTTCCCTGGTAGCAGGGCGGTTATCAGGGAAGCACTTCTACAAGGGAAGGTGCCTTTAGCTACTCTGGATATTTGTTTAGCTTCGATCACAGAATCAACTTTGAAACAGTATAATGGGGGTCTACGCCTGTGGTGGGAGTTTTGTGTTAACAAAAACATTATTCCATATGAGGTAGCTGTGGAGGACGTTCTGGAATTTTTAACCATTCACTTTGAGAAAGGCGCAACTTATGGAACCCTTAATTCTTATAGATCGGCCATAGCTCAGATTGCAGGGCCACAATTTGGCCAAGATTTTAGGGTCAAGCGTTTCTTCAAAGGAGTTTTTAGCAAAAAACCACCTACAGCTAGATATGAGAATATTTGGGATCCCCAAATAGTATTATCCTATGTAAAGACGCTTGGAACTAAAACTCTTTCTCTAGCAACCTTAAGCAAAAAACTTGCGGTTTTGTTGGCCTTGGCCACCGGCCAACGTATACAAACATTAACACTTGTAAAGATTAATAATATCTCAGTTCAATCTCACGTAATCAATATAAAGATACCAGACCGTATCAAAACATCCTCAATAAATAAACCGCAACCCCTTTTGGTTTTACCTTTTTTTGATAATGATCCGCAACTATGCGTAGCTAGAACATTATTAACATATCTTAGTGCTACCGAGAAGTTAAGAAACTCTTGTGATTGGCTTTTTATTACCTTTAAGAAACCACACAACAAGGCATCTGTTTCTACTATATCCAGATGGATTAAAGATATGCTAGAAAATAGTGGAGTAGATATGACCATATTTAAACCACAAAGTACAAGACATGCATCCACCTCTTCTGCAGCAAGGGCTGGGGTCAGTTTTGATTCCATAAGATTAGCGGCAGGTTGGTCTAACGATTCTAGAACGTTCGCAAACTTTTATAATCGCCCTGTCGTAGACAATTCTAAGTTTGCAAAAGTTATACTAAATTGTTAAAAAAAAAAAAAAAAAAAAAATTATAATAAACTTGTGTATCTTAAAATAAGTAAGGAGTTGAAACTTAATTTAGTCGAGATAGTAATTATTTTTAGTTACCATGTTATTTCAACCATTATTCAAATAAATTTATGCGTTGTTGCAATTACTTTAAACATCTACAGACTTCTTTATTTAGGAGACGGGACCGTAATATAATTATAAGATCAAACGAACTTACCTTAAGTGATGTTCGATCTTGATTATATTACGGTCCCGTCGAAGTAAATAAAGTCCCACCCTGCCCTGTTATTATAAAAAATAATCAACTGGAATTCCCCTTTGCAACAACAACTTTAAAATGACTGAAGCAGCGAGGCACCTGAAGGTTCGGAGTGGGGTGCGGTGTTGCCAGATGCAGATTTCTTTAAAAATTGTGGTCCGGAAACGCAGAACGGAGGTACTACAGACTTCTTTATTTACTTCGACGGGACCGTAATATAATCAAGATCGAACATCACTTAAGGTAAGTTCGTTTGATCTTATAATTTTAGCTTACTCTTTAGTCCTCATTTACCCATGCCTAGACTCAGCTTGCAAGTCAAAATTGCAGAAGCTTCAGAACAACTGTTGCAGATTCATATTTGGGCTTAGGAAGTACAGTAGCGTTTCTTCAAAAATCAAGGAGTTACAGTGGCTCAGAGTTGACGGCTTATACAACTACTCTATGGCTTCATTGGTGCATAGAATTTTTAAAACTGGTAAACCCGTCTATTTGCTCTGTAAGTTGATTCCTCGTGGAAACCAAATTACTCTAAATCTGCGGCACAATGATCTACTTTCCATTCCTATACATCGTACGTCGGTCTTTGAAAGGTCCTTTACTTATAATGCGGTCAAGGTATACAATTCTTTGCCAGCTATCTCTAAGAGCTTAAGTTTGCAGCGCTTCAAGAAGACAGTCAAGTTGCACTTTCTGGACTCAGCACATTGAGTGATAAATTCATTTTGCTGAATGATATCTTGTTCTTTTGTTTCTTTTCTTTGTATATGTTCATATTTGTTGTATATATTTTTAATGCATTCGTTACAGCTACTGATTCATGTTGTTATGCTAATGTTTTGTAATGTCTGGTTGTAGTATGGTTAAGTGGTAGAGTAGCCATGGCTAAACTTCGCCATACTATGATCATCTTTTGAATAAAGTCATTATTATTATTATTATTATTATTATTATTATATTTTACAGGAGAGCTATTTTTCGTGTTTGTGTCTTGCCTAACATTTCTGAGAAATTTTGGATATACAATGCTTTACCAGAAAAAAGTATGACTAGTCCGTGAAAGTAGACTTACATTTGTTGCTGACATTGGTCTTACAGTCGTTCTGTAAGTGATCATCTGCTCTTATCATAGTTCTGCAGCGAAATGACGCGCCTCAAGCTATTACGCCAAAATATCGTTCAAGACCAGTGGTGGGGGAACGCTTGCGCAGGGACTTACAATACCTCTGCATGGAATGTAGGTGACTATGACCTACAATGTCGTGTTAAAATCTGAAAAATGAAGAATTTGGACATACAATAGTTCTGCATTCAGGCGACGAATTAATACACCATACTTTTTGTTTGTGGAATCAGGCCTTGTGAGGAGGATTTATTTTAATGGATGAAGAAGTAATTAGTTCCACTCTCATTTCTGGGGTTCCGGCCTTTTTGTTGTTATTAAAATAGCTACTATTGGCGATTATATCTGCCCAGTCATCGACGCTGTCTTGTGAAGGAGAGAATAAATGTACTAAAATGAAATTAGCATAGACTGGGTTATAACACTGAAACACAAAGCTTCAGCTTACCTGTTTTATTGATGTCGACATTTATATAATAGATAATATTACATTTGGAAACATAAAATATAGTACACACAACGGTGATATATATTCAATATAAAGAATATATACTGTCGATAGTGCATAATACAATACTTAGTTATACATTTAGGTACATAGATACATCATATAACACAGTAAAGGTTGTAAAAAATGGGATGTGGCCATTGTCGCGCATTTCGCGTCTCTATGTGATAACGACCTGACATAGAAAGATATATTTATAAAAATATTCCGATTTTGTTGTTGCATAGCGATGCGAAATATGGCGCGCCTTGGCCGGATATGTCTCGAAATGGTCTGGCTTGCGCCAAGATATGTTACACAAAAATACTCATCCAAGTATCTATAAATGTATCACTTCGCCCGCGTTTCAAAATTTCTTGCTTACCTCTAGTAAACAGCTACTAACAAATATTACAAAATATCGAGATATGTATTTGCGTATCGCAGACAAGGATAGTTTCAATTTACTTGATATGTTTATGTTTACATTACTACAGTCCAAGAAGATAATATTGCTCATCGATAAGATTTTTCGTACAGGGTGACATAACCATTATGTGCGTTATTGTAACGTTGTTATCTAGTAAGGCAATTATGATGTCTCTGATCAGAGTAGGAAACAACATGTTAATATCTGGCTGTCAAGCTTGGAGCTTTGTGGTCAAAGTAAGCCGATGTCTGGTTGTTAAACTTGCAGCTCTGTGGCTAGAATAACACTGTTGGGGTCTTTCTGTTAAACTTGAACCTTTATGGTTAAGGAGCTCTTAAAATCGTTAGTATAGTCATTATAGTAGATCCGAAATTGTAATAAGTAATTTGAGCGCTGACAATCTGAAGTAGCTCTTGGATTTAAATCTCTTGATTGTGATTGTGAGAAATATGAAGTTGTAGCAAGAAATAAATCAACAGGTTACGAGAATTTGGAATTATCTTTTTAACCACTAAAAAATGGAGAAAACAACCAGTTTGTAAAACAAGATTGTCCAATTTTTCACCTATTCTTATGTTTCATTTTTAAGATGGATTTTTCTGAGAGAGCGAATTTTTAGATACGTAATGTAATTCCGACATTTCATTATTTTTGACTTACGGGAATACAATTTGTCCAATCTCTTGTTAAAGATACAATACGTGATCATCCTCAAATTGGTTATGCCTCTCTATAGAAAAACTTAAAGGCAAATGTGTAAGAAGTGATTTCAAATTGTTCACTTCCACACATAGTTTGTGCACTGATGACTTTTCAGGAGTTTTTCTTGGAGCTTTTAACAGTCAGTACCAGATTAGCTAAAATCAGATATTGTAATACGTTAATTTTTATTATATTTGGAAATTCCTTTTCAACGCGTCTAACTTGCTACAAATGTTAGATCTTCATGTGTGGACAAATCTGAACTTCAGAGCTAAATGTATTATCACAAAGTTGAACCTACTGTCTGTTGAAAGCTACATGAAAATCCACCCAAAGTCTAAATTTGAGGTGTATATTCCTTCTCTAAATCAATAAACTTCTTAAATATATGATATGACTGGTAATTGAAGCTCACGGTTTCAAATATTCACACGATTATCTTTTTGTGTATACATGAGTTAGAATAGTTGATTCGTAGTTTAGAACAAGTAAGGTATTTTTCAACGCCTTAGTGCTGTTACCTTAGTTGAAATGTTTATGGCCACACAATTTTGCCCGATTTTACCAAGGACAAAAGTTGAATCTGATTTTCGACAATCTTTTTAAATCATTTTTTAAGATGCTGTTTATTGCAAAAAATGTTCGCCGTGAGTAATGAACTTATGGTTTGGCTGTAGGTTCAGAATGCATTTACGATTTTTGGTTCACAGCACTGCTTGTTGTCTATCATTGTTCAATCTGGTAGGGGTAATCTACTGGTCAAATACAACAACAAGTGGAAAATTCAGTAAGCACGTGCAGTGGTGCGTACCGTAACTTGGCAGTTGTTAGTTGCATATTTTGATGACTTGTAAAGCAATTTCTTAAGATGTTGATGATTTACCCGGTATTGCTTTGCAGCTGTGTGAGAGAAAAGATATAGTTTGGGTATTTTATTGGAAATATATTCTCTGGTTCACAATGTTTCTAGACTCGCAGCACCTTTATAATATGAGGGATGTAATCTACAAGTAAATTGTGATAACAAGTGGCAAATTTTCTAAGCAAGTGCAGTGGTGCGTACCATAGCTTGACAGTTGTTGGTCACAAGTTTTTGATAAATTACACCACTCCATACATTTAGCTGTTCTTTTAAATGGTTGCATTCTTCAAAACAAAATATTCTCCTTTATATCATATACGTTTCGACAAAGACCATGAGATATAACTGATCTCCATTCAACTGGCTGAAGTCACTTTAGCAAAGATTTCTCAATGTAACCTATATTACCTGTCCCGAGGAAAAGTAATGAAATTATTAGTAACTTCATTATGTAAATCCAATTAAGCATCAGAAAGCTAAGCTAAGCTACTCGATTGTGAGCGATAATAGTGTTTCATTGCAAATGTCGGGATTTGAAAAGTTGAAGGAGTTTCAGTAAAAATAGTTTACACATCGAAATTAAAAGTCTGTCAGAAGGTGTTGGAAGGTAAATCGTACTGTGTTCGTATGTAAGATCGGGCCTTAAAATCTTCAAGGTTCCAATCACTTCTTTAAAACTCCAGACGCCTCATACCTTTACTGTTCTAAAGTATGAAGAACTTACATTTTATGATCACTTAACTCTACTTACTTTCTAATAAATGTTTGAAACTTACTCTATATAGCATGCAATAGAACTATAAAGTAACTCATGGCGGAGCTGAACTTTCCATTTACTGTATATTTGCAATATACATGGTAAAGCTGTCTTCGAGAAATCATTCAACTCCCCATGATCTTTTAGAACTCACTACGATATCAATGTGGGATTACGGCACATTTTTGTGATATGATATGTAGGCCAATTTTTTCTCCTTATAGCTACAGACTCTCTTGCGTTTGGTGCGCAATACTTTTACCTCCTACAAATAAATTATTTTCAAAATCAACATACAAACATCGAGATATTTTTTAGAAAAAACAGATTAATCTGATGAATTTACATTTAGTAACGATACGTTAGATGGAATCTTAAACGGGTGCGATTCTTAAATCTCTGGTATACTATTTTAAAATTGCTTCTAAATAGTGTTAGCTCTGAATTTATCTATCCCTATACGATCCATTTCGAAAATTTTCTCTAAGTTGGCCCTTCTACCAGAATCAACAAAGATACTAAACATATGGTGAACCCGATGACGTTTAAAGTTCCTCATGATCAAGGCATGAATCGATGTTTGGCTAAAACTTCAAACTTAGAACCATTCGGTTGTATATTGCTAGAAAACGTCAAACCGACCTTACTAGGAAATTTTCAAAATGATCTATATAGTGCTTATCTGTCCCTTAAAGTTCACCAGTTTGGATAGTTGCTGTAAGAGACACAATCACTTTCGAAAATTTTGGAATTTTCATTTTCAGCAAGTATGACTAAATGGTGAACTTCAAGATTTTGGTCAGCAAAGATGGCAAACGTTGAAAGGTCTTGGTGCATAGATTTTTGGTGAATATATAATAAACAGTGGAGCTTTAACAAAAATTTGAAGAAAATTGCTTGTCTATGTTGCTGATGATTTTTGTGAAAACTACTTCACTCTTTCGTACTGATTCCATACAAAATTTTAGGAAACTTAGTAATTATTTGTGAACTGGACAAACGTTATCGAATGTTCTGGCTGCCATCATTGTTGACCATTCAAAACGTTTACTAACTAGACTGGTCAAAAATATGAGATACATTATAAGAAGCGCGAATATCTACGTTACAAGCTAAGATACATGCTCTACGTCCCTACACAATAACATTGCAAAAACAGGAAAATTCCAACGTCAAATATAAAATCTCACTAAACCTTTTAACACTATTTTGACAATGTAGAACTGTCTTGCAGGCGAATACATCACTTGAAAATCTCAAACTAAATTTATGACTCTTAGAAAACGATAACCTTTCTTTAGAAATGTAAATGAATATTGAAAAATTACACAACCATGGATTCGTTACTTAGCTTAAGAGCCAAACATTATTCTATAGCTTGTTTCATAGCTCTCGCGATATTTTTCTAACATTTTTCGTCGTCAACCAAACTGGCAAACTCTTTTCTTGAATTTCTCTAAGTGAATAAAGCCTCAAATGGTAAACGTTAGTAGATGTGTCGCCTTTCTGAATGATAAAATAAATTAGTAGCGTTATTTTCATTTTAAATGAGCTTTGTGTGTGATGAATAAGTCTGATATTTAATAATGACGTCACAAATATCATTCGTTTCGAGCACGAAATATGGCCTATAATCTGTTTGAAATAAACTCGTCTGCGTGTTTTAACAACGGTGATATTAATAGTAATCCAAAATGTAATATTTAATGATAATGTGTTTCTAAGCTTCTGACTTTGATGTGTATTATTATAGTAGTGTCGCATTCACCCATATTACAGTTCATGTCAAAGAATAAAAAATGTCACCTAGCGTGTATGTTAATAAAAATTTCTGAGTACTTCTAAATCTGACAACGTTAAACATACCTAGCTATTAGAATACACGTAGTACTAGCTATTAAACAGTTAAGAGAGACTGCCATTGCCGTGGTTGCACCACCTGAAAAATAGAAACCACTGTAACAAAATGAACAAAAAATTAGGTACTATTAGGTACACTAGTGGTGAATCAGTGCTTTTCGTCGCATTGATATGAAACAGACAACATGAAGCTCAAGAAGCATCGAAAACCTATTGCAAAATTGGCCTATTTAGTTTTTGAAATAGACAGCTAGAAATAGTAGTCCAATTTTCGATCTTAATATCTCGGAAACTAGTGATTTGATATAAAACAGTTGTTATTTTTAATGTTTAATACGATAATAATAAGTACAAAAAATATGTCCTTTCTATTTCAAAAATTGACTTTGGGGTTTCCTAGAACTCAATTTTTAATCCCTTGTTTGACTACTCTTAATTATTATTTACCTAAATATAGAATAAAGTAAGTGCTTTGCTGAAAGGAAACTATTCCAAATCGTTTGGCATAGACACACATACACAATTCAAAAGATTTTAACAGCCGTCAACCGAGTTAAGTATACGGTGATGAAATTTTGCGATGACATTTTGCGTAGAGCCTGGAAATTTTATAATATACAGGGTGTTTCAATTAAAATAAGCAAATAAGTAGGTATCTACTTTCGAGATAACCAGAAGTGCCGCAGTTGTGAAGATCTGAATTTTCTCTATCTGATTTTCGTAATCGTCTACTGGCTACAGAGTAATCCATCGCTTAGTGAACATCGTGTATATTTATTTCATCCCGCCTGTAATATGTTAACAAATTTTTATCTCTCCAGTGCCCTCTCCTTTTTTTATTTCCTACGAGAAAAATTTCGAAAATAGGATACTATGTTTTAGGATGTGTTCATCACAAAAAACCATGTAATCCATTTCGATCGGTCTCGGCCTGTTTGTCGGTTTGTCTGTCTGTCTGACGGTTTGTATGTCTGCTAATTCTTCGCCGTCTATAATTTGAAAAGTACTGCTCGGATTTGAATGAAACTTGTACATATTACTACAGGGTGGCCGATATGTAACTGACTTGTTTTGTGTTTTGAATATTTGTGAGATGAAATAAAATACGTCCATTTTTTTCATCTTAATCTTTGATTGAAACTTAGCTTCAGCTGCTCTACAGTATTTGGTTTGCTGGCATAAGCCCCATTTTTAAAAAAATTCCATAAAAAAGGTCAGGAGCCGTTAAATACGGTGACCTTGGTGGCCAGTTGACATCACCATATCGAGAAATTAAACGTCCCGGAAATATTGTTGCCCAGATATGACAATTCTGCTTATTAACGAATTCGTTCGACTTTGAAGATGAGTCATTAATTTTCAGATAATGATTGTAGAAGGAAGATAAGTCAAAATATGTGTGTAAAAATAAAAAGAAAAATTAAAAAAAAGTGTGCCTTGTTTTATAAAGTATCCTCCCGATAAGTATTTCAGTGCGGACCTGTATTTGATCGTGAGGTCTTGGAGCACCGGCATGCCCTCCCCTGTGAGGTCACCTGATTCACGAGCCCGTTGTACTACATTAACAAAGGCACGACGGGTTGGTTGCACTCGATTGGGAAACCGATCCGCATAAACATGTGCCATTTTTTATTTCGTTTGAGCCACGCAGCAAACACCACTATTCACTCACGCGTTACACATTGACTGAATAAAAACATCGTGATCAGCGTTTCAAATTCTTTCGCTTTTTTGTTTCCGATGCGATGAACCGATACTCACTGTTAAAATAAATGACTCAACTTCGAAGTCACCCTGTAGAAGCGGGCTTCATCGCTCATTATTAGTTGTTGGTAATAATTGTTATTTTGGGTGACACGTCCCATTTTTTAAATTTCTTTTCAGCTTCCTGTTTGCAGCATTATTATAAATCCTTTTCATCTGAGAATTTCATGTCTATAGAGATGACTCAAAAACAACGTTTTTATTTTTTTTGTGAAAAATGCATTTTATTGTGCATTCTTTCTTCAGTCGGAACTTGTTAACAAATATAAGTACAGCTCTAAAATTGTCTGTGAATATTCCTCTTTTATGGAAGAATGAAACGAGTGAATACCTTTGTTCTTATCACTTTTCCTTTTCGAAGAATCTTTGATTTTTTTGAAGCCTCGCGTCGCAGCAAGTTGAGTTTTCAAGAAAAGCAACTCGTATGTGTTTACAAGTTCCGATCGAAGAAAAAAATGCACATAAAGTGTATTTTTGAGAAAAAAAAGAAAAAATTGTTTTTTGTCTTCAATATACACAACATGAAATTATCAGTTGAAAAGGATTTAGAATATTGCTGTAAACAGAAAGCTGAAAAGAGATCTAAGAAAAGGGATGTGCCATCTTAAGCTGCAATATTGCATGACTGTATTGTTGGTGACTTTCATGGTCACTAGGCTATAGTTCTTGAAATAACTGAATTTTGTATGACCGCAAATTCAAGTCTTTGTTTGAAGTAGTGCATAATGACGTGCGACGAATACCCAGTTCTTTGGAACGATGTCTGGTAGACGTCTCAGGGCACTCCACTAAACTTTCACGAACTCTCTCGATATTCTCCACAGTACAAATAGTTCGAACACGGCCCCCAGGTCTTTAACTTCACCTGTTTGTTCAAATTTCCGCACCAACTGACGGATGGTGTTGACACTGGGCACATTATTTAGACTGAAATCTTGTCGTAGCTTCCGAATCGTTGCAATAATCGAATCGTCATTTGAGTAAAACGTTTTAACAATGAGGACGCCTTGTGGGATCGTGTAGCGCTCCACGATGAATTGGACCCATGTGCTTTAAACAACTACTGCGGCGCCACGGAGAATCAAAAATGGCACGCAATTTAAAGCAGTCAGTTATATTTTATCGACCCTGTACTATGCTAAGGACCATAAAGCTTTGTAGTTATTGAAAATCGCTGGTGGAAAAAAGACAAGGAACTGATAAAATAACAGTTGGTCGAACTTCGTTGTTTGCCATTTCAGAAGGTCCTGATCATTTTTGAAAAAATTTTTTTGGGGTACAAAATTAGACGGTGGTGGTCGTAGTGGGTGTGGGAGGGTATGGCTCAATTTTTTAACGTTATGATATTTATACGCTAACAGGCCCGGTAATTTTACGCACCTATTTGCCATATTTCACGTCATGGGTTTTCCGATACACTTGTCGCTAAAACTTAGAATAATGAATGTTTTCGAAATGCGTCGCGTTCTGCTCAATCCTCTTGATTGGTGTGCTCGTACTGCGGCGGTGCTGCGGTGGGCGCCTCCGCGTCCGATGATATGGGAAGGGGCAACGTTGCCAGATGCACGGTAACTACCGGCAGGTCAGGGCACTAATTGTATGGCCCTGTTTGACTAACCTTTTTAGTTTAATTTTCCTATTGCACATGCTCGTAATTGATTTTTAGTCAACATACTTGTCGCCATTTTTCTGTAGGCACACACAAAGCTTGGTAAAACTATCTGCACCTCGACAAACCCAAAAATGTTGTTTAATATCTGTAGTTTCAATAATTTGAATTCTAAACTGCTCATTTGGTGTTTGAGAATTAAATTTAAAGTTTAAGAGTACGAGTCATCATGAGATATTCATGTACGAACCTGTGGAGCCATCGTCGTAACTCTTGATAACGCATTGCATCCGCTCCAAAGGCAAGCTGGTCAAGCTATACTCCCTGTGCTCATTCGACATCGTGCACACCGTCCGTTTTTTCTGCATCATCTCATCGTCCTTGTCCTTCAAGTTGCGCAGCCAATTTTTGTACCATTGCAGTTCACAGTCACACAGAAGAGGGTTATCTGCAATACAAGATGTTTCAATCTACAATAGCAGCAGCAGTACTGAACTTTGCAACTAGGCAACATTCGGTACTGTTTATCGAATCCACCTACATTTTTTCTAAAATACCTCTCAAACAAGTGAAAAATTATATGATTATGGACATGGAAACCACAGGACAAGTTTTGGAGTTATACCAAAAAAATCTCTTTAATCACTGGTACAGTTACAAAAACCTGTTTTTTCATATGATCACTGTATCAAAATTTGCTACTAGAGTGCAAAAATAAGTATCATATCCAGGAACCAAATTTAAAAACTTGAGAAATTTCAAAAAGAGTATATATCAGCTATCAGTTAGATCGTTGATTTTTAATAAACTCTTATAAACTAAATTACACAGTTTAACAAACATGGGGTGTTTTCAATTCACGTATGCCCAATAGATATTTGGAGCTAATTTGCATGACTTATAATTGCCACGCCAACTATGTTTAATATGTTAAAGTAGTAGGTAGAAAGCAAATGCTGTCAACGGAAAAACCAAGTTGGAGTGCTGTCAGATCTACTGCCCTTGCGGCTTCTAATTGTGTGACAAGCTAATGATAAACATAAATAATATATTGTCACAAATATAGGATGCGTTGTTAAATAATTCATAACACCTAATTAGTTCAAGTAGGCTGTGTGTGGATTTGTAAGTCAGTCTGGTTTTGGTCCGCGAGCTCCAAAGGGTGGGCTGGAGCCGCAACGGGATCTTTTTCGGAAGTCCGGTCTATTGAAAGATAATTGGCCCTTGAGAAAGAATGGCCCTCAGATAGTGTTGGTTGGTCAGAAACACATTTTAAAATACTCCAATTGACATATTCGTTTAATAAACCAATGTCTAAAGATAACTGTTGTTTTCCTCATAGTTTTAAGGGCTACTGCTGGAGGGCACTTACCCTATGAACAGCAATATATCAACAAACTAGACCCTGCAATTTCAACCTATGGTAGTGAATTCTAATAATTTTTTGTTCTTGTTCAATTGTTCAATGACTTTCCGTTCAGCAATCTGATATAGCAGCACTGGGCAGGTTGTAAAACGCAATTCTGATTTCAAATATGATAAATTTTATGTTCTTTTTTCCCAAAAAAAGATCATTGCCAATATTATTATTTGCAGAAATATCGCCCAGACACAGATCGTGTGCTAGCTAAACATACCGGGAAACAGTGGTTCATGTTCATATATCTACTGAAACATTAGACGCATCCATTTTTTAAAAATTATATCTCTCAGTTAAAAAGTGACTCTGTTAATTTCAACTAAGTGTTCAGAATATTCTACAAATCTTGGTCTAATAAAAAATAGGTTTTTATAGCTAAACCAGGTGATACAGATACATCTTGAATATGTGGATCGTATGATTTTTCGCTAGTTTGGAATATCTTCTGGAAAATGGACTATTTTCACTAGACCCATAGCTTTAACGCCGTCTGATTGGTTGGATTTGCTCTCTGGAGCAAATTTTGATTACCGGATAGTTAAATCAGGTCTAAAACCGACAATACCGCCAGCATTGAAATTTTATGGCAAATCTTCCGAACCTTCGAACCATAGGTATTCACAAAATCTGCATAGATTTTCCATCGAATTCGGTTACCCCAGCAATCGTATGATTAGTTGTAGTACTGACTGTAGTTCTGAGATCAAAATTTTGGAGAATGAGTACACTAAAAGAAATATTTGTAACGTTGATCGCCCGATACACATACACTGAAGATAGGATGTTGCGCATGTGGGCGGAGCTTCGTGACGTCAGCCAGAGAGTTGCCGGCTCGTGGTTACCAGTGGCAGGATTGTCGTAACGTTACTGCAGTGCACGTGTATCATGGTTAATACTATATAGTGCGATTTCTTGGTGATCTTTGGTGGGTTTGTGACTTGTACTAGTTATATTTACTTTATACGTATATACCCTGTGATGTTAGTAAATTGATAAAAATGCGGTGTGCTGTTGTGGGATGTAATTGCGACAACCAATCTAAACGGAATCCTTGTAAAGACATGAAGTTCCACAGTTATCCTCAAGACCCAAACCTTAGCAAAAAATGGCTACATCATACAAAAAGAAAAATCAAAGTCAACGTGAAAAGCGCTAGGGTTTGCTCGAAGCACTTTTGTGGAAGTACTTAGAAAGTCAATTTGAAACATACCCTTTTGGGTTGCACCCCTAAAAGACAACGTGCTCTAAAAGATGATGCCATTCCTATGGAAAATTTACCCAAGTCTCTATCATCACCTGCACCATCTACATCTGTTGATAGGGAAAAGCGGAAAAGTGCTTACGAAAAAAGGCAAAGGGCTCAACTTATCCCCTAGAGTTTAAGTATAGAATAAGGTCATTTATTTTGGGGCGAAACGAAGGCGCATACTCAGAGTATTGCAGCGTAGAGGAAGAGGATACTCCGGACATTCCACTAACCGCATCATTAACGAATAATCTGAATGCACCCGAAGTATCAGCTGACTATAACGAGGAAGTTTTAGTGGAATCAATAGATGAGCTCGAGTATGATGGGCTGAAAAATTTGGCCGGCTTTGTTTGCCATAAATTGCAGGATGAGAGGTTGAAAAGTTCCTCAAATGAAACTAATTCCTGGATATACCATCTTAGTGAGAGTGTTTTATCAAAACCTTCCACAGCTTTCATGAATCAAATTGAGAAGCTTAATAAGGTGTTTACTACATTCAATGGGGACGGAATAGTGACAGAAAAGCAAAATTTTATAGGCGAATTTCTGTTGAAGAGCAGCAACATTGACTGCCCTGAAAAAGCTCAGAAACTATTTTTCAGGTCAAGGATGTTCTTCCAGATCAAATAACTGAATGAAAGTTTGAAAGACCAGAAAAATTGTAAAAGGAAATGGAGAAAAATTCTGGCTTAGACTAAGTCATTTCCATATATTGTTATACCGCCAGCTTACTGCAAAAAGATGATAACTCCATTTTTATACTTTTCGAGTTGCGTACATTTTCACACTTGCATATAGTTAGTGCTTAGGATGTTCTGTGAAATAAGGATGCATAAATGAAGTGCAGTATTAACGTCATGAGCATGTTAATCCTGCTCCACAGAACATACTAAAATATAGGTAATGTAGAAAAATCTTGTTTTTACAGTAAAGTGACGATACACACGCTCTATTGTGGAGCTAGAAAGCCGTTTAAGCTATAGCCTGTGAGATAGGAATTACAAGGTTAATATCTTTTATTTAAATCCACCATTTTGTTTTGTATAAAATTTTAATGTAGATTGTGTCACTCGTAGGACGAATCCAATGACACTTCATATGTAAAAATCCGTCTAGCCGTTTGGCCTGTAGGTCAAAATATGCACGTTATCCAAATCAACCCGAATGAGAATCACTCTCAGCCTGACGTCATGCGTGCCGGCGGACGAAAATCGAACAGCGGAGCATCCGGCACTACGTTGATCGTGACCATGATCCTTAAAAGGTTGGTTTCAAGACAAGTTGACTTTCATTATTCTGGAATAGATCTGACTCGAGATATCAGAAAACTGAATAAGAGAGGTAGCTTTCTAAGGACACAAAAAAGTCGTGGTTGTTTTCTTGCCTTTGATTATGACCTTTACAATGTCAAGTTAAGGTCATGTTGATTTTGAAGGTGGAAGCGAAAGAAAAAGTGCACGAATGTGAACGTAGCTTCAGGGTATTGTATTTTATTGACTATCAATTGGAGTTTTCTTGTTGATCTACTTCCGACATGTCAAATGGTTTCAGTCAACTTTTTCGAAGGATAATCAAACTCCTGTATCATGGAGAGTATGTGTATGTCAAAAAACACATATACCTAATGTTTGGATATCAGATTTACATCTACACTAATGCTCATTAATCATTGCAAGATTATCAGGTAAATCTTCGTTACATTCAAAAAATTTTTGATGAGATATCCATAGTCAACACTTTATTGGGTTTTGAAAACGTGAGTAAAATCCTTTTGCTCATACCTTCTACTTCGTCTAACGCTAGATCGACAGTCGCCTCTAACGCCGTTGCCTACATCTACCTTCCATAATAATCGTAGGATGGTACCTCAATTTGAATAGCTCTCGAACTACCGATCTTGTGTTGGTAACTAAACGAGATTTATTGGCTAATTCAGTGGACAGCTGCCATTCATTTTCTTCCAGAGGTGAAAGCATTTCTCAATTTATACCTAACTAATCTAACAGTACAGTGACAACAAGGGACTCTATGGACTTTCTAGGAAAATTTTGTAACAAAGGATTTCGAACATTTTATGCCATGTAAATATTTTGTTTAAGGAAAGCGTAAGCTTTGCATTCAGTCGATATTCCTTGTAGATTTTTAAATGCATTAATAGTAAGACATAAGGTGTGCCCGTCAAAGCTACCTGTTCTATTGGGTTTCCTAAATTCTCGAGCAACTCGTTCCATATCTATTCCAGCAAAAACATATAAAAATTAACTTGCCCTAAAACTGACTTGGTACGGAACATGTCCACAACACATTCCTACAAGGTATTTTAACGAAATACTTCTTTTAGTATATTGATTCTCCGAGTTTTTGGTCTCAAAGCTACAACAGGCTCATTGATCAGTTTTGCAAATAAGGAAAAAATGCTCCGCCTATTGCTCAGAAGCTAGTAATGGGATTCTTGCCTTCATGCCTTGCTGAACAAAGGTGTCTATGGGACCCAAACAATCCTATGACTAGTTTCTGAGAAATGGGAAACATTTTTTCGTGATTTGCAGAACTGGTCAATGAGCCTCTTGTAGCTCAGGCGCTTACTATCAACCTTTCCGTCAATAGTGGTATCTGCTTCGCGAAGTAAGTTCAGTTAAAACAAAATCAACTGTTCGAGATCGTGAATATTTTTATTGGCTCTTAGTTGACGATAGCTTTTATGAAAATTGCAAATGTTATCAAATATCCTACTTAGCAGATATAAGTACCTGTTATATCCACTACACGGAGCGTGTCAAGAACTGGTTCCATAACGTCTTCAGATACATGCATCAGCTTGTTGTTTTGTAAGTTCAAAGTTTCCAGGGAGTTCAAGTTCTCGAACACCAGCCCACTCAGTGTACGGATGCTACAATAAAAGTCACATTTTCGAAAAAATAGTACTGCTTGGAAAAGGTATAAAATAGGTAGTGATAGGTATAAAAACAGGATCTTACTCGTTCTTTTGAAGATTCAAGAATGTAATAGAATCTCCAAATCCCACAAACGCGTCTTCAGCAATGTACGAGATGTTGTTCGCTCTAAGATCCAGATGGCGCAAACGATGTAGACGTTTCAGCGCTTCTGTAGGGATGGTATGGATGTTGTTGTCGCCTAAGCGCAGGTATTGGAGATTCTCTGTGGAAAAAATGCCATTTTAGAGTTAGGCTGCAAAAAACTGTTTATTTTCCAAGATATACAGGGTGTTCCAGAAGTCGACGTCAAGCCGGAAACCGGGGATAGGCCAAGTCATAATAGTTATCAGAAAAATTGTTATCCCACGTAAATTAAGTTATAATTAGGTAAAAGAATGTAACTGTGCTCGGTGGGTAGTTTATGAGCCCTCCGCGGGTGGTTCTTTGTACTCTGGATTTTGGATTCAAATGGTTGTGGTTTGGGCGCCACCTAGTTCCAAGCACTAGGAAAATAACAAGGCATCAATGTTGGGTTATCTGGCGGTTAATGACATACAAACTTAAAAGGTATACAGACAAGGGAAATAAAAAAAATTCAAAAGAAGTCCTGGAGGATAAGCAAAAGAAAGTTATTTTCTACAACCCCCTCCAGCTAAATGGTTTCCTAACATAAAAAAAACACTTAGGCAGGTGCTTGGCTATCACAGGTAGGCAACCGAGTGCAGGAAGTCCCGGATGTAACTCAATACCCGAAGGTAGAACCCGATGGTAAAACCCAAAGGTAGAACCCTCGAACAATAGGGGTTCACAGAAATGGGGGATTGCCCCTCACAGACGTGAGTCCTACTTAAATAAGCCTCGGAGTATTAATGCAAACAGTTCCCCTCATCTCGTTGGGTCAGTGTAGTTGTGACAACGGCTAAATCCCCAAGAGAGTGAGAAAAGGGCTCCGACATCAAAATCTCCACAACCCGATAAACCCAGTACTGGGTGTGAAATTATTTCACTACCGCGAGTTGTGAGTCGTTCAACTCCTAGACGAGAGCACCGGAAAAAGCCCCAAGTCACCTTCAGCTCTCGTTTTTACGGTCGTCAGAGAATATAAAAAATGACATTTAACGAGATGGAGAGTAGAGTACGATTTTCTACCATAAAATTATTAAACCAAGAGATGTGTTTTGTTATACAAATTAAATTCGATATTTTTAGGAACTGTTATAAAATTACGACTCTAAATAAGAAAAACGTGATAATTTACTTTATCAAGATATAGTTAATTTTTAGTGGACCATGAAAATAAACCATGGAAAATCTTAAAAAGAATCGGAATAATCCCGTGATGATTTTCTTAGTTCCTATTACTACAAATTTTTCTTAGACGGAGTGTAATTCTAGGTAGTGACAGCAAAATAGATAGTAACACCACTTTTATTAATTCATGACTGTGTAGTGTCACCATGTCTGTGTGCACCGTACAGGAATACGCAAACATACACCTCATTTATAGGGAATGTATGTAGATGCATGCTAGTGCTGCAGCTAGGCTTTATCGTGAGATGTACCCAAATGCTGGTCGTCATCCCGATCACCGACGTTCTGTGAATGTGCCTCGTTTACTCTCAGGAAGACGATTTTCAGATCAAGCACATAGTGAAGGAATAATTTCCTTCCCTTCAGATGATGTCGTACTACAAGCAGTCGAAGAAGACCCGAGTACTTCAGTACGTCAAATAGAAGCAAGCACGGGAGTGCCCAAAAGTACAGCCCACCGAATCTTGTGAAACAAAGAGCTCCAGCTGTACCACGTACCTCGACTACAATCTCTACATCCCCGGGATTATCTTCCAGAGTTGAGTTTTGCCAAACAATGTTATAGAGACAACAGAAAAATCTGCGATTTCTAGAAAAAATTTTATGTACTGATGAGTCGACATTTTAAAAAATGGTTACAACTTACACGAGTGCTATGTAGAAAAATCACATTTGATGAGACAAGATGACAGCATCGTTTTTAACATGTGGACCAGGATTCTGAATGGGAGAATCATTGTACCCTATGGGATGCCAGAGCTCTTGAATGGCGAAATTCATTTAGCCCTTTTACAAAATCATTTACCCAATTTATTGGACGACACGTCGTAGATTTTTATATTTTTTTAATAACTATTGACCTATACCCAGTTCTGGCTTGACGTAGACCGCTGGGACATCCTGTATATTCTGAAATTTGGGATTTACATTTCTAAGAAATCAGTACGATTGAAATAACAGGGCTAGCTAATGGGCGGTGAAATACGAGCTCCTTCCCACTTCAGTTGGCCCAACCATTGAAATCTTAGTTTTTTTCTTATCAAACACAAATAATAAAAATGTAGCAGGGTTTTATAGGTTTAAAATATTAACAATGAATATTTTGATAATATATAGTAGAAAACACCAACTTTATCACTCCCTAATCAAATTTGCAGCATAAAAATAACACATGTTGCAATTACAGCATATCAACCTATTTTCATTTCAATGCAAAATAAGTCTATAACGCATAGGTGGCTGCGGAAAATAAAAGCCATGACAATTGTTTTTATTAATCACAGCTGTCAGAATACGTTTAAAATAGTTTTGGGTAGTTAAGGTTTTCAAAATGGGTAGAGGAAAGTTTATTAGTGAGAAAATTCGGTTACTGATAATTAAATTTTTTAATTCTGGGAAATCAAACTCAGAAATTGCAACTTTGTTAGACTTATCGCGGTACAGTGTGAGAAATATTGTTAGAAGATATAACGTAACTGGTTCAGTTAATATTAATCCATGATATGTGAAAAAAAGTAATATCACAAATGCCGACCGAAGAGCATTAAGAAGAATAATTGTGAAAAACAGGCGTGCCAATTATTTACAATTAAGTGCTCTGTAGAGTGACGCTGTTGGAAGGAGAATTTAGAGGTCCACAACTCATAGAGAGGCGCACAAACTGGGATTTAGCACTTGCAAGGTAAGTTTTCTTATAAAAAAAAGTGAAGTAAAAACCTTAAAGTTGCACAACTTGTTTATAGGCCAAAGAAAAGCCACTATCAACTCCACTGTAAAAGAAAAATCGGCTTAGATGAGCTAAAGAACATAGACAATGCACACCTCAACAATGTTGTGCAATACAATGGAGTGATGAGGCCCGATTCGAAGTTTGTGTTGGTGACAGTCGCAGTAGAGTCATTCGCAAAAAAAAATGAAGCATTCCATGTTGACTGTCTGAAGAGAAAAGTGAAATTTCCAGGCTCCACTATGGTCTGGGGCAGTATGTCATCAAAAGGAGTAGGCATACTTCATTTTATTGATGGAAATGTGGATACAAATAAATATTTGGCAATTTTAGAAGAATCGCTTTTACCAGTGATGGAAGGATGTTTGACATCCGGCCAAGATTTTGTGTTTCAGCAAGATGGTGCAGCGTGCCATACCTCAAAAAAGGCTATAAGATGGATGGAAGAAAATAATGTACTACTTTTGAAATGGGTTTCTAGCAGTCCAGGTCTGTCACCTATTGAAACTTTGTGGCACGAGATGAAAAAGGTTCTACAACAACATCCTGCTCGTACAATCACCGAACTGAGACAAAAGCTTCAAGAAATATGGGATTGTTTTACACCAAGTTTTTGCCAAAACATGGTTAACACTATGTCCCAAAGAATTACAGCCGTAATAAAAAATAAAGGTGATGTTACCCAATGGTAATCTTTCAATTGATGCTTTCTTAACTTCGCGGATTTATCCCCACATTATTTATTTGTTCAGATGTTCTATTAGTTATAGGTCTAAGTGATTTCAAATATGTATTTTTTACGACTAGAGTGTATCTAAAATGTTTTTGAGAAAATCAATTGCTTTAGAAGTAAGTAGTTGCGTCATGTTTAGTTTATAAAGGCTATATGTTCTTATAAGACTGGTTTTGCAACTTGTTTTGTATTTTCTTTGGTGGGAATAAAGACATTATTATTATTATTATTATTATATTTTGGTACAAATCTTGAAGTGGGCCAACTGAAGTGGGAAGGGGCTCGTAGAATTCCAACAGTTTACTATTATTGTATCCGCATCGATATTCCTGCACATATCCTGATTTCCTGGCTTTTTGTACGGGATAAAAAACTTATAGTACGCTGCGCGGGACGGTGACGTTGAGGAAAATGATATGGATAGATTTTCGAAGCATAAGCAGCATCTTGAAGACATCCACCGTAAACTAACGCCATATCGACAATTCGTTAGTGTAGGGGTATGTGCCATATTCATTCTTTTAAATCCAGTTATCTCGCTTGTCTTAAGACTTTATTGAATGACAATAGTTATATGCCGTGTAAAGGAAAGTCCCAGTTTTGAAAACATTGTGTGTAAGTCTGTGGTATTAACTATTGATGATGAGCAAAGAATTTAGACTAGGTAGAAGGAGCGAATTCTCTAAGTATGTAGTGAGGCTCAACCTTGACTTGAAATAAGTCAATTTTTTGACACTTCCCTCATAATTTAGTATTATTTTGTAAACATGTGGGCGTTTGTTGGTAGTTGTGATGTTGGAGGATTTCAAGACATGATATTTCTCACATAATTTACAAATAACGGCACAAGCTTAATGAAGGTATATGTTTTCATCGGTAAGTGTTATTATGTTGATACAACGATGTCACTTTGGTAGGCATTGGTAGCCAAATGAGTCGAAAGTATGCGCAAAAATTATGCAATTTTGGCGACAAATAATGGAACGTAAACATAATGTATTCGAATTCGTTGATGATAGAAATCGGTCTTTTGATCTTTGCTTCTAGTAAAAGCATAAATTAGCAGATCTGTCAGCCAGTCCGAGAAAAATAAGCAAAAAAGGAAGACAGGAAATAAGGAGGCGGGTAAAATTGAAGAGGCTGTGCCAGCTGGAGGAATCGGTAGTTTCAAGTCGAAAATTATGAGGCTAGTTTTTCTTAAGAATATCACTTTTGGTTGTTTTTAAATTGTGTTCTAACCTTCTAAGCCGGCAAACGCTTCAGGGTCGATGGTATCGATGTTGTTTCCTTCCAGTTCCAAGGAGTTCAAAAGAGTTATATGGGTGAATACTTTGGCTGGGACTGTACGAAGCTTGTTGTGCGCCAGGCCCAAAGAATCCAGATTCCTCAAGCCTAAAACAATTTATTCAAATATTAATAAATAAATAGAAAAGAAATATTGTTCTCTAGACTTTCAACGGTTACACTATATTTGGTGATCCTTGGGTGATCTGGATCATCATGATGTTTATTCAAAACATCAACATTATATCAGAAACATCTGCAACATACAAAATTAGGCTTACCTTCAAAATCGCCTTCATGTATTTCACTGATCCTGTTTTCTTGCATTTCTAATTTCTTGAGAGTTTCAAGCATAGCCAGTGATTTTTGAGGGACTGTTGTTAAGCCGTTACCGCCTAAGTTCAACCTCTTCAGTTTTCTGCAAACAAGACACTTCAGTTTCAAATTCCGTATTATAATTATTAAATATCTATAGGTCATGCACATAGTCGGTTTTAATATCATTTCAAAGTTTTATATTTGTTTCGACGTCGTGGCTGAAAATAAAAAGTGATATTTAAGAGAATTAAATTTTTTCCATGCTTTTGTTGTACAAGTATATGGATAGTGAATTTCTGCCTTAAGGCGGCTCCGACGCATTGAGTTTCAAACCATTTACAATATTTTTGAATAAAATTCATACAGTATGTTCAGAAGACAGTTGCCCAGGGTGCTATCGGAGCACTTATTGGGTTGAAATGCTTACTTTCTTGTTTCGCGATTTCTCGATTTTTACAAAGAGCCTGGTGGAAAAAATTAAAAAAGATGCTTTATATGACCCTGTAGGGTTTTGTTTTCAGCTTACTGTAAAAATTTCATTAAAAAATATTGGAAATGAAGCATCAGTTTCGAAGCGCGTAAACCTCTACAAATCGGATTTTGTACGAATTTTGTCTATTGTTTCGTGCTGCCAGCCCAAGCGACGCGGCGTTATGTACGGACTAAGAAACGACGCACTCAGATAATGTCATATAAGATCGTGTATATAGTACATCATTTTGCACATAGGTGTTCATAGTCGCGATCGCTGATGGGAAGTAATGTAAATGTAACTTCTGAACTTATGCCCGGTTGTCTCTCTGATCTATTTATCTTACACTGGAAAATAAATGGAAACTAATAAAACACTGATTTCATGAAGATTTTTCTGCTTCAGCAAATTAAAAAATTTTTCTTTGCCATATTTTCTTCGCACGCCAGTGGCGCAAAACATTTTGAAAATGAGATGTTATGTTTTTTTAAGTCATCTACTACGAAAGACTATATCACTCATTTCCGTCTGTCTGTTTGCTAATGCTTTGCCCGTCTATAACTTGGAAAATTTCCCCATAAGGTTACTACTATGCCACAGCTTTGTAGTTTCAGTCCAGTGCCAGGGACCCTATAGGCAAAAAAGGAACAAAATAACAATCGCTGAAACTCCGTTTTTGACGTTTCAGTGTTTGCTAGTCATTGTCATGAAAATTGGAGTGCTTAAAAAGTAGGGGTTTAGGGAAAGCTGGTATTGGATGTTGCATCTTTGATATGTGAAACACGTTCTATTATTAAGAAGCTTCTGATCTCAGTCATTTAAGAGACGAAAATCCGACGAATAATGCGCTTACGATTTGAAATAATCGGTACCTGCGTTATAGGTTTGACATCGACACCCAAGAGATCGGCAACTGCCGACAGTAGGGAAGGATAAATTCAGATATTTATAATGGGGATTATTATAGTCTAATCATAGACGAAAATATCGCTGCTTTGCGAAATAATTGTGAAGTCTAGTTTTACTGCTGCAAGTTGTTCAAGGGGGTATTCAAAACATGGACGCATAAAACAAGTACGCCAGTTTTTGTGGGAAAACTTTTTATTCGACAACAAAGAATGAGAAAACGTGTTTTTTCGGAGTTCAGTCGAAACTGTTGTTAGGCACGAAAAGATTGCTCAAGTAGTTTTTGAGAATTTCTAATTGTTTATCCCAAAACACCTGTTTTCCGGCCATCACTTCTAGTTTATTGAGCAACATACACGGTTAGTTTAAAAGGCATTTTATAGCAAAATACACTAGTTTACCTTGCCGATATGAATCGAAATCCGTTCCGGAAGATAAATGTTATTTTTATGCCAAAAAGGATGGGTTACGTTTTTTTTTCTAAACAAATTCAAACATTTCGTATTTGTGAGTAATTCGCAACAAAAGATGATAGGCACATCTGCTTTGTTTTAAAATTTATACATATAGTAACGTATGTTTTTGGAATATCATAGCGCATTTGTTCAATTACTCACAATTACGAAATGATTGAATTTGTTTAGAAAAAAAAAACGTAACGTTTGTTTTACGGATAAAAATAAATTTATCTTTCGGAATGGCTTGTGATTCATATCGTGTATTTCACTATTAAATGCTCTTTGAACAGCCCTGTATATTGCTCAATAAACTAGTAGTGATGGCCAGAAAACAAGTATTTAGAGATGAACAATTAGAAATTCTCAAAAAACTACCTGACCAGTACGAGTACACTCCAGTTTTGTTGTTCTTATTAAGAAGTACGAATCCTAAGGATTAGAAGAGTTGCGTGAAATTATCGTCGCATTACCAACAAGTGCCAAAACCTGCATTTTGCCTCGTTTTTTGGTCGTAACGTTTTTGCTACTAGTCGGATCTCTTAACGTTTGGTTTTATTTTGTAGGACTCATAAATACCTAAAAATCTTATCTGAAAAGTTTTTTCATTCCTGTCAACACATTCGATTGAATCCCAAAAAATCAAATCAAATAAAAAGTTTTCTCAAAAAAAATTGGTGTACCCATTTTATGAGTCCATGTTTTAAATACCGCCTTTATTAACTTGCACCAATAAAACCAGACTTTACAATTATCTCGAGGAAGTTTCCTAATATGATTAGACTATTAATGCTAGATCGCCAACCGAAATCCTATTCTGTTATTATGGAGATTTAGCTCGGCACGCGCCCGCAGCCACCCTTTCCTTTTTTTAGGCCCGTATCGTCAGTCGTCCCTACAATTGTAGGGCGCCTTTATGGCCTCCTTGATTGTCATAGTTTTCTACTTCTCCGTGTCAGCACTCTATTTTGAGGCTATGTCGCAAACATCAATTTGCATCAAATTGTGCTTGGTTTTGAGTTATATCATGTTTTATCAGCCTGAAATTTCCTACAATTTAAAAGGAAAACAAATCTTCACAATAGGAGAGCGCTGACGCTGACACGGGACAAGTGTAGTCTAGAAATTTTTGAAGGAGAGAAAGGAGTATGACAATCATGGAGGCCATAAACGCGCCCTACAATTGTAGGATCGACTGACGATACGGGCCTTAGTAGCGCCGACGACAGTGTAAGAGCAGCTCACTGACGTTTAGTGTTCATCCCCCCGTTACCTCAGGAGATGTCCTCGTGATCGTGGGAGCCGCGTTAATCTTTTGAGTATTTTTTATACAAAAGAAAGTGTTTAAAATGCGTTTTTCTAACAAACCGACGTTTGGACGTTTATTTAATGTATTCTTCAAGCAGTTGAGGAAAACACCAAACAAGGGACGACCCATACGAGGAAGACATTTGGGCTATTGGGATAAGAACCAAGTGTTGTTGGATAATAAATAAACACTATCCTGTATAATCTTCTTTCCCGATGCTTTTGAATCAATGTCCTATTGGAGCACAGTAACAACCACTGGATTGTAAACAAAATGTTTTTGAACCCGAAAATCCTGTTTATAAAACAAACAGTTGCTGCAATATGTAGGGGCTTTTAATTGCAAAGAATTTCCATTATCTTTGCTATCTTTGAAAATGCATTAAAACAGTCAGGTGCTCTAGAGCTTCGCTACAACATCGCCTAGCGCCTACCTCCTTCAGAACAAGTCTCGACATTATTTCCACAAAAACGTGGTTTGAATGCGGCCTGAATATCCAAGCAGATAGTTGTCTCTTAGGACATTGTCCATTCAAAATGCAAAATGAACACGAAAGTAACGCATAGATCCTGTTGCGGATTTAGGATCTCTGGGGCCCGAAACACAAAGGTCTTACGGGTAATAGTTGAAGAGGTAAAAGGGGGGACTGTACCATCATGATTTTGGAAACAAACATTTTGTCTGGGGCAACTATAAACAGTGCACCACATGCGTGATCTTAGATCTGCCGCTGCGTAGGTCTCTGCAGTGTCGAATCTCACGAATAAAATGAAAACTGGAAGAATTTGTTCAGGGTCGTAGTAGTGTTTCTAGTTAAGTTCATCTAAAGAACATTGTCTGCTGAAATATTCAGTAACAAGTAGTGGTTTGTGAGGACTCAAAGGATAGTTTGCCAGACCGATCAATTTTAAAAACGCCAACTGAGAAGACTGGAAAATATCTTATCTACTTATTTATTTAGTACGTACTTTTCCAAACCAACGAAAGCCTCGGGATCGATGTTGTTGATTTTGTTCTCGTACAACGTGAGGATCTCCAGAGTATCCAGACCCTGGAAGGCCTTCGCGTGTAAGCTGCTAATTTTGTTGTGATTCATGTTGAGGATCAGCAAATGGTGGAGGTTTTTGAATGCCGGGGATGGCACCTGGTTCAAACTGTTCTGGGAAACGTCCAGCTGGGTTAACATTTTACCTGGAAATCGACATCAATAAATTATCAAACCCGTCAATATTATTTCCTCCGATATGTTCAAACTAGTCCTATATGACGATGTTACATCTTTACTAAGAATCGTCAGTATGGTATGGCATAATGGTCGCAAGCTATCCGTTTTCATCTATACCTGAAATTTAGGGAATAGCTTACGCCAGAAGCCATTGTGTCACAGCTTGTTGGTCTATAAGCAGAGTTTTTGACCCTGAAAATAATTCATATTTTAAGCTGATCGCATCTATTACATTTTTGCATATACATATTTTAGAACATATATACCATAAATTCAACAGACGATTCTTTGATTACTTTAAAACAAAAAGTTCATATAAACATAGCTCCGCAAATTCTTCGTTCTCAATATACTGGGTGTTAAAATTAAGAAAAAGAATAGTTTTTCGTAAATATCTTAATTATCATTCACCTAATTTCGTTGTAAGATTCAGGAGCTAATTTATTGATTGATTAAATCTATGAAGTCCAGTGGCATCTCGAGCGGGATCTGAACGAATATTTGTGACAAAAAATGTACGCCATTGAGCTTTGTGCAATTTCTATTATGTTCTTTGGATTAAGCAAATAGAAATACAACATTTTCTTCCCTTGAATTTTTCTCATATCTTAAGTAATTGCATCCCTGGATCACACAAGTAATATTGGGAAACGTTTCTTATGGAAATGATTTTATAAATTATAAAAGATAATAATTTTCGAAAGATACTTTTCCCCATATTCCTTGTGTGGTCCAGGGATACAATTAAGTGGACTTTTTTCTCGAAAACTAAGCAAGATACAAAAAAATTCAAGAGACAAAACGGTTGTATTTCTTTCTGCTTAATAAAAAATTGCGCAGAAGTCAGTGGCGTACATTTTTTTTGTCACAAATATTTGTTCAGATATCGCTTAAGACGTCACTTGACTTAAAAAATTCAAACAAGTTAGTTCTAAATTAGCTCCTTAGTGTTATAAATACCGCCAAGTTACAGCAAAATTAAGTAAAGGATATTTAAGTTATTTACCAAAAAACATTTTTTTAAAACTGTCAAACCCTGTATCTTGAGAACGAGAAATTTACGGACCTATGTTTAAAGGAACGTTTTGTCTCAAAGAATCGTCTGTTAAATTTATGTTGCATACTTAATTAACACCCTGTTTATAAAAATAATAGTGCTGCTCCACTACGTGTACATTAAAAACAGAAGTTGAAACAATATACACATTTTTTTTTTTATTGACGGCGTCAACTTCTATGGTTATTAGCCGCATTTAATAATATAGTTTATAAGTGCAAGTATAAGTAAAAAAATATAAATGTATAGTATAAAAAAATATATAATCTCTTACATGTCTAAGTGGGTAAATGTAGGAATTTTAATACTAAGTAAATATGTAAATTTCAGATTTTAATCAAAAAGGATATACTATTGTCTTTTATTTTTAGATTCCATTAGCAACAAAAATATAATCTCTGGGAAATATTACAAGGCTAAATTTGTGAGTTATATATTTATTATTATTATTTTTTGTTTTGCTCCAGTAGCATCGACAGTCATTGTCTGCATTTCACGATCTTGTTTGCGTTGACGTAAGTATTTCAATTTATACCAATTCTATTACTACATACATGTATTTCCTTCAGTTCCAGAGGGCAACACTAAGCTAAGGTAGGTATGATGCAAAATCATCGTTACATAAGACTTATTGAATCTCAATTGAGAATAAGATACACAAAAATTAGAATGGTTTGTTTCCATATAGTTCATTAGGTCAGATCTTCCAATAGAAACCAGATACTTTTAAGAATGATATGACGTTTTTCAGTTTTTCTGGTTGTGTGAGACTCTCCGCCAGGTTATCAAATGGTCCATAGGTCACTCCACATTGGGACAATATCGGACATTCGCATATAATGTGGCGTACAGTGACTGGAGAGTTACATCTAGTGCACAAGTGTGGATCTGTTCCGAACAAAAGATGTGCATGTGTAAGACGTGTGTGGCCAATCCGTAAGCGATGTATGCGCACCCATTCCTCTCGTAGCAGTCTGATAGGCCATGGTCCTACACTAGGTTTTATCTGTTTTAAGTGAGTATCAGTATTACCCCATGTATTTTGCCAGTGTCGCAGTATACGGTTTATGAGGTAGCTTTTTTGATCAGACATTTTTATTTCAGGGATGTCAATGTTTTGTAGCGCTGCTGCTGCCTTCGCCACCATATTGGCAGCCTCATTCCCTGTATGCCAACGTGTCCTGGCGACCACAAAAATTTTACGTTCACTCCTTTATTTAATAGATGTTTGACAGTTCCAAGACACATCACAGTTAAGGAATCTCGAGATGCATAGTTAGGCCTTGAAGTGCTTAGAGCGAGTCACTAGCTATAATGACCGTTCTTATGTTATTCAACATGTCACAATACCGTAGGGCCTGCCAAATAGCGTATTGCTCAGCAGGAAATTGGATGCTATTGGTGATAGTGTCCATTGATGTGCAGTTTGATTGACTACTATAGCACAGCCGACACCACTGTCAGTTCGCGATCTGTCTGTATAGATAACTGTTGCTGAGGGATATCTAGAATTGGTTTCCAAAAAATGTGATTTTAAGAGTTCAGATGGATGGTCATTTTTAGATAGTGCAGTCAGCTATAGATTCACATTTATTTTGGATGACAGCCATGGAGGAGATTCCCTGTGTTTAACATTATAGATATTGTTACATGATATACCAATTTCCTCAGCAGATTCTTTAAGTCGGACTCTGAGTGGTCTTGTTATTGTGGGGCGACAGATGTAGCTCTCATCCGTACCGAATATGATAGAAAAGTTTCTATGGAATGGTCGTGTTTGAATCTGTGCAAAATACGATAGTGCAAGTTTTTTACGTCTAATGGATAGAGGTTCAACTCCGGATTCGAAATAGAGGCTAGTTGCTGGAGTTGTACGAAATGCACCAAGGCAGAGAACTGCATCAAGTTTTTTATGACGTAACGGTCTTGCAGATGAGTAAACAATGCTACCATAGTCAAGCTTGGATAGAATGATACTGCTAGGACAATAAAAGGATGAGATATACTAGCTCACAGTGAGACCACGCAGACACGCCGCAACCCGCATACCGTGAGAACATAAATACCCGCAACCGCATACAGTGAGACTACGTGTCTACGCAGGAAACGCATATAGTCAGAAGCCTCATATACGCAGCAACCGCATAGAGTCAGAACAGCTCCCACACCCGCAATCTTCACGCTCCTGCATCACCGCTACGCCAGGAATACGAACCAGAATTAGACAGAATACCGGATCAAAGGTAGGCGACAACCACATTTCATTCTTGAACCAGGCGCTATACAGTCCACTCGAATACTCTAACAAATGGATATATCGTATTTCTATCCGTGATAGGGTCAAACCTCAATATATATTGCACTAATATACACAATTATAATGACATTTAATTTTGTTTTCAATGTGAGCGCAGTGGAACACAACTTTAATTTTTGTATGTGTTTTGTATTTTAGTGTATTTTATTATATATTTGAAGCCGAAAGTGTAGCAACCTTACATTCATGTAATCATATATTTGAAAATGGATTAATTTTGGACGGGAATCCCAAAAAAAAACAATCTTCTCGCCAAATATTCCGGTCCCAACGGTGACCCTCTTCAAGTACAATAGGGAAAAAATTATCGTGAAATTTTAACATACACGTGCTCTGAGATTTTTAAATGCAAGTCTATAATATATGCGATCCACTTGAAATTTTAGTTATCTTCATTGGCAGAAACCCCGGTTGTAGTTTAAGTTTTAGCTATGGAGGGCAAGTTCTGGCATTTCTCTCAATAGAAAAAAGCGAAAGTACTTTTCTGGATATTCCGACGAGATGTTAGTTTTGTTTTACTCTTAAAATATAGGCATGCACCTCTTTGGGTGATAATTTGTTTTGTTTGTATTGAATATCAAATAAAACATTTTTACACAAGTTTGAAGCTTCGATGATCTTTAAAAACATTGAAATTCAATTTATACTTGTTTGACTTAATTATTTGAAGATCTCATCAAATCCTCCGAAAAGTTTTAATTTCAAACCTCGTTGTCGTCCGCTGACACTAAGTTCAGGGACATTTTGAGTTTTAATCTAAAGTCCACAATGTATCTGATAACATGATAATTGTTCTAAATCGATTACACGAGTTGCGGCTTGCTTGGTTAACATGGGGCGACATTAATTTGTCACAGCTATTATGTATACCTACGTTTTGCATTATTATACAGACCTATGAGCTATGTAACAGATTCAATTAAATTCCACTGGGTTTGTTCCTATAGAGACTAAATTATTATTGCTTCTATATTTTCTTTGTTATTTGTTCAATATGTTGGGCCAGCATCCAAAAGAACCAACTTGCCTTTGAGCATTCCCATAACTTTGAAATTTGATCAAAGTCGGTTCTTAGATTAAACAGTAGCCAGAAAGCTATGGGAAAGGTTGAGGGACAGTCCGAGATATAGCGAATGTAACTGCGATTTAAATAATGAAATATCTACATTTATGACGTGATATATGAGACGGAAAGTTAACGTATCAAGGATCCTCATACACAATCACCAACCAAAACTGATATCCAAATTCATACCTATCGAGCTGAGCGAAGCCTCCTCGACAACGGACAAGCTGCTGTTGTGTATGGTGAGATGGCGAATGTCCAGGCCAAGAAAGACGAAGCCGGGCAGTTTCTTGAGATTGTTGTGCCTTAGCTTGAGATAGAAGATGACGAGCGGCTTGCCTTTGAGCGCCCCCATGGCGTCCGAGATGCGCTGCTGGTCGGTGAACTCGCACAGAATGTCCAGGCCGTTCTTCTTTACGGTGCACGTGCAGGGGGCGATGTCCCCGCGCGGGGGACATTGCTGCTGCACCTGAAAACATAAAAACATTCAGGTAGCGAAATTTCGGTTAAAAGGCTCTTTGTTCTTCGTGATTGCTCCATTATCTAATTAAAATATTGCAAACGGTCAGAAGGCAGAAGTAGAATGCCCCTTGTCCATTTGTCCTGAATCCCCCGGCCGATGGAGTAGAGCGTTTCGCTTTTAGTCTGAGGGTCCCAAGTTCGAATCCAGATTCGAATATTTTTAGCCGGTTTAGTTAAAATTCGCCATCATCAGCTCACAAAGGATTATGTTCACAGCAAGTTGAACCTTCTAAGAAAAAAGTTAGTTACGAACATATACGACAGAGAAATTGAATAAATCAATTCAAACAGACTCATTCAATTGGTCCATATTATTTCCCTATCCTACCGGTAGAACCGTCAATCTGACAATTTTGCATCGGCGCCATACTAACCACACGACGGATGAGATACAGCAGCGCGGCACCGTGGCATTAGCGGTAAGTCACTTTTCGAGACCGGCATGTCCGTCAGTGGACCCAGAGAGCAGAAGTAGAGTCACGTATCGATCAGGAGCTTGAGTGATTGTTATTTCTTCCCTTTTTTATCTAGTAGCATCCCTGCCACTGAACTGATTTTTAAAATCTAGGTACAAAGCTTTTTCGTGCTTGGCACAGTAAGTAACCTTGTATTTTCCAAGACGAGCCAAGGATTAGCGGACATACAGACCGGCATGCTGACAGACTGACGCAAATGAGTAACATGGTTTTTCATGATGTACATGACGCATAAATAAATAAAAAGTAAATAAGTAATTTTTTGTTCTAAGGGACTTTGAAGAACCTAGTCAGCAACACACAAATATTGAAAACATATTTAAAAAAACGCATTATTACGAACATTATGAGAAACACATTTAAAAAAGAAGTATACACACTATTGATCTAGAAATTCATTGATGTTGTAATAATCTTCAGCTACAAAAAAATGCGCAACCTTATTTTTGAACTATCCAAAATTGTCAATACCTCTAATGGTTTTGCCTAATTTATTGTATAATTCTATATATTGGGACTTCGTTCGTTCGTATGCATTTAAATTACGATCAGGAACATTAGAAAGAAATAAACAAATGCATCTTTATTTCTTGTTCCATAATCATGTAGATCAGAGTTCTTAGTTAAATTCTGTAGATTACTTCTTGCATGGAAAATAATTCCAATCATATAAATATATGACAAAGTTAGAGTGCGAGGCTATTTGAACCACTGTTTACATGATTTCCCTCATATTTCTAAGCGCCTTTCTCCAATATAAGAGCTCATAGTGCAAGACGGGAGGATCCCTAAAGAATGATTCCATTTTTATCCTAGAAAAAGCACACGTATAATGAGTTTGGTTTGTATAAGGCAAAAAACATGCTGATGACAGTTTTTGACACATAGTATTTATATGCATTTTCCAATTCAAATGGTGATCTATAGAAACTCCAAGGAATTTTGTATCACGAACCTGTTCAATAGCCTTTCGAATAATTTTGAGTAAATAAGACTTGGTTCGACATTCATAAATACTGACTTATATGGACTTATAATAAGCTTATTAGTTCCAAGATACATTGTTGGATTGTAGGCTGATAACACACATAAATATGTACTAGTGTTATCATCATACATTATGACATATTACTTCACGGGGCATAACCTGAGGTAGATAACGTATATCAGAAAAAGTAAAGGATCCAAAATTGACCCTAGAGGAACACCAATCGAAGGAGATTCGAGGTGATCTTTATATCTGTGCATTCGCCGACAGTACGTTTTAGTTGCTTTTATAGCCCATGACTGGTCCTAGGAATTTTTAGTAATCTTTCGACTTACAAAGGATGCGACAAAATCTCGGGAAATCCAAAGAATTCGAAAGAATGTTCAAGGAAAATGCAATGTCATCTGAGAGAAGATCTTTTGCTCCTTCAAGCAATCAGAGCTTCTATAGATCTATTGTCCTGACTTCCTGTTGGTTATAAAGGCTGTTATATTTTTCTTCGGAAAAACATTACACATGATGTAATGATGTTCTTTATTCGTCATTGTCATCAGAGCGGTCCGTAGGAGGTCTTTTTATTTAAGCGGGCACCAAGATGGACTTTACGACACTGCTTTGGAGGTGGCCCCATCGGAGGTTTGTAGTATCAATGCCCCATGCTAAGGAGTATACATATGGTTAAATCAATTCTTACGAACTTACAGCCCACAAACCATTCTGGCGAAAAGAGGACGTAGTGTTTTGAGCAAAATGGCCATTACGTCATTATTTGTGGGCTACCAGAGCTACGTGATGGAACATACGTCGTGATTAAAAAATTAGTCTCAAGCATGTTCAAAATCACTTTATAAACTTTCGACTGAGCTGGAAGGTATTCATGCATAAGTCTTATTTATGCCTTCTACAAGTGTTAATCTAGAAATAAGGTTACCAAAGAGCTCTAGCCACACTAGGTGGTACGAGGCGTAACCCGTCAACACCGCTGTGTGCGATTGTTCCCCCACTTTAGACCCCCCCTGGTCTAGCTTTGCTACAACGCTCATTTTTGGCTCAGCAGCCATCCAATGTAGCGGTTCCCACTGTTGATGCTGCCAAGATTCGTTCCACAATCCGCTTTCTACACGAGAAAAGGACTCCACCCGTAGATGCTTATCTTCAAATGATAGGTGTATGGAGACAAGTGTATGTCCGTTGGAAAGTGGTAGAGGGAGCTTAGTCCCGATCGGAATTAAGTTCACGATGAAGAACGTACTCGGAGGCGGTTATCGAGAGGGTCCAACGAGCAGTGGAACAGGGTATCCCAAGAATCTGAGCAACAAGTTCATTGACGGTGATCCTGTTGAAACACTTTGCGTTAGAGAATCTCGATAATCGCCTCTGAGGCTTACAGCCGTCGACTTGTTTCTTTATTGCGGACTTCCTGCCGACCGGTGATTAACTCGAATCTCACACTTGGTGGTATCAGAAATAGGAAGCTTTTTATATGAGGACTGATGAAGAATGAGCGGCGCAGTGGAGTATGCTGGGGGGAATCGAGAGTGGGGGACCGCGCAGAGGTGTTGCCGGATTTCGTCTCGCACCTTTTGGTGAGGCTGAAGCTCTTTCAAAACCTCCTTTTTGGATCAACCAATGACGAATTAAGAATGGGGCGCCCCCCTTCCAAAATGTCCAAGTCTACAATTTTTTCCAAAAAATTTACCGCATATTAGTGTAAAAATTATCTTGCCTGACCTGAATCGTGAGTCGTGCGCCCGCCCCCCTGGACGTATCCCACCCTCCGATCTTCAATTGTCACAAAAGCATTTGCTCTGAGAAACGCTAATGCAAGAAGCCGACACCCCCTCCCCCCGCTACTACCTAACCCCCAAGACGAATATCTTCCTAGGCTTGAATAGTGCGACCACCACTGCGTCCCTTCCCTAGTTATATTCCTTAATCAGCCTTTCGGATGAGCGCTTGTAAAATACGTATTTCAGTGTATGATGGTCACTCGTGACACGTCATCTGTATTTAAGGTATTTATCTTTATTAACCACTTAGAAACAGATATAGTACATGTGGTGGAAAAAGAAATAAATAAGCTATATAATACCTGTATAAATAAAATATATAAAAATATAAGTAAAAATCAATATACTCGTAAATATAACAATCAAGGTTGTACATTCCCTATACTCACTTATAAAATGCATTTGATGCTAATATTTTTTTAACTTGTTTTTTAAATCGAAAATAATCACTGATTTACTGTATTTCACCTGGTAATTGACGCATTATATAATTTGATGCAGTTACAGTAAGGTGATTTTTTGAAATATGTTGTGGTGTGAGTATGGATGATTTTTAAATTTTGATTTCTAGTATTACAAGTATAATTTTGATGAGCAATTATATTTGTGAATAGGCTATTAAACTTCTCAACGTAAGTTACACATTTCAAAATGCGAATACAGTGTAAGGTAAAAATGTCTCGTGATATAAAAATTTCTCTGCAGGAGTTAAGTGGCAATAAGATTATAAAGCTGACTTACCTCGCACATGGCCAGAGCGCACAGTCCAGCCACAATTGCCAGCACTCTTGCCGCCCATGTCCATCTGACCATCAGCACTCTGGCCATACTCTACGGTCAAACCGAGCCCCCCGTCCTGGGCTATGCCATCACCATGGCACCCCGTTCATGAAGCCTGAAACAACAACAAATATGTTAATTCTAACATCAAATTCAATTCATTTGACTTATTTTAGTAGAATACGCTGTTATTGCAGCTAATTTAGAACTGCATATTAAACAAGTACACTATTGGATAACTTGTTTGGTTGTTCGCATTTTTTGAAATCAATAAACAGATAAGCAACAATAATTTATAGATTTCTTCGAATAGAAGTATCTCTTGCTGCGTATAAAGTGAGCTATCTACTATTTTTCTTATTATTGAATGACCTCAGGATAAGCAAACCAAGATATGTTAGAAGTACAGTAAGTAGGTTAACTCAGTAGCAGTGGTCATAAGACGAGGCGAAAACCTCGGTATATTTTTTAATCAGCTTCTTTAAGCAAATTAGGAAAATTCGTGTTTTTGATCGGGAAAAAGTTATTTTGAGTCTTTTGGATCACTATGAACAAATAAGGTCCCTAGTATGTAAATTTTTTCCAAAGTTAACCGTTTAGCCATTATCCTACTGTTGTTAATCCGCGTGAAACAGTCAACTAAAAATGTTTTAAGATTAACTAATTCTAGAATACCCATCTGAGTGTTGCAGGGGAATGTTTAGACTCGAAACACTTGAGAACCTGAAACGTAGTGATTGTTAATCGAGTTTTTAAGCGAGAAAGTATTGTAACCGTGAAAAAATTCGAAAATGAGATATTAGGTTTTTTGGATGTTATAGGTATGCCATGTACATCACGAAAAACTATGTTACTTATTTCCGTCGGTCTGCCTGTCTCTGTCTGTCGGTCTGTCCGCTAATTTTATAACCGCCTACAACTTGAGAAGGACCACTTGGATTTTGATGAAATTTTCACACAAGGTTACTACTATGCCAAGTAAGTTTTAGTTTTTGATAATCGGTCTTGTGGTCGCAGAGCTAACAGAAAAACAAACAAAAAATCCCTCACACTTTTGTAGGGGCTGAAATTTGATTCGTAGAGGGTTGTAGGAGATGGGGGAGGTTAATGAATTTTTTTTGATCTTAATATAATTATATACCCCCAACCCCGGTAATTCTAAGCTCCTATTAGCGATATTTCACACATCATAGACTTAACTGTACGTTCAAGCTTTGAAGCTGAGAATTATAGAGAAATGTCTTCGCGTACTCCTGCGTATGTAAGCGCACCGCCTGGTGTACCAGTCCGGCTTCTATTTATGTATCCGTACTGAAGCGCAAAAAGCAGCGCAAAAAACATATAGTAGACTCAGCCTCCCAGATATGGAAAGGGACAACGTTGCCACATGGTCGGTAACTACCAGTATTGAATAGAAAGAATGTCTGTGGACTAATTGTATGGATCAGTTTGAATGACAACACATTTAATTTCTCTGTTATACATGTCCGTAACTCTGCTTCTGTTCTCTGGGCTCACCGAAATATATTTTCCGCAGACGCATCGCGTACTTGGCGTTATTTTTTCAAATATATATATTATAAAATAACTTCGTCCGGAGCGGAAATGCCAATTATTTGGAATTTTTATTAGAAAAAATATTTCAACAACTCTCAAATGATTAGTGATAAAGCCATCAAAATGAGTTTGAACATGGGAAGATTCTCTTTTAAATAGCACATCACAGTTTTTTAACTATCTATCAGTAGCATTTCAATGATACCACTAATATCTACACATTCCCCATATTTCTACCTCATCATAATTGAAACGTTACCCCACTACTCCCCTTTAAAGGTGATGGATTATACAAACATCTTCAACCCCCTAATTCACTGGAGTGTAGTGTATTTACAAATATTTGGTTAGATTTATCCACAGAAATATCCATCCAAATTCATCTAAAGGAGAAGGAGCTCACTATATGACGGAGAGAGAGCACTAGACGACCATTGTTGCGTAATTTACCCCAAAAGTCTCGTCACGGCAGGCTATTGTAATAACAGAAAACTGTAGGTGTTTAGCATTTTCTCCTGGCTATTCAGTGGTACATTTGAATTTCACCTTGACCATAATCTTGAAGGTCGAATCAAGGTCATCTCCATAATGGCGAAAATTTTCGACAAAGAGATATTATGTTTTTTGGTGTTATATAACAAGTACATTACGAAAAACCGTGTCACTCATTTCCGTCGGTCTGTCTGTTTGTAATTCTGTCTGCGAATCCTATAAAGGTCTATAACTTGAGAAGTACCGTTCGGATTTCGAACAAATTTTCACACAATCTTATTGATATACCAGGGACGCAAAAGCTTCGTAGTTTTTGAAAATCGGTCTAGCGGTGGCAGAGAAAAGGGCTAAAAACAAAACAGAAGCAAAATCGTTCAAACTTCATTGTTTGACGTTTCAAAGGATCCTAGTCATTTTTATAAAAAAGTTAGAGGTTAAAAGACTTGGGGGTGGGAAGGGGTATATCTCAATTTTTTGATTTTAGTACATTCTTATACGCTCCCAACCATGGTAATTCTATGCAAAACGCCAATTATTTGGAAGTGTTGTTAATGTTTTAACAGCTCTCAAACGATCAGTGATAAAGCTATCAAAAAAAGTTTGAACATGGGAAAATTTACCTTTAAATACCACATTACAGTTTTTTAGCTATCTATCAGCAGCATAATTGAATACATTGCCTCTTTAAAGGTGATGGATTATACAAACATTTTAAACCCCCTAATCCGCTGTAGACGAGAAATATTCTTAGAAGACAGATGGCCATTTTTTTAAATATGACCCTATACTTTTAAGATCGGAAACGAATAGAGTGGAAAAGTCTACGTACAGATATCTGCTTAGGTGAAAATTATTTGATTTTGAACGTCCTGGTCAAGGTCATCGTAAAAACCCTCGCTTGAAAAGATTTTAGGGATCTCTCTGGAGATAAAGCAAAAATGAGAACCCAAAGGCAGCAGGGGCTTCAATTTTTTCTAGGCCATCCACTGACGATCTTGAAACTGAGCTTTACGAGTACTTTAATAGCCTATAACGTTAGATCAGGGAAATAGAACGGAAAATTTCGCGTTTAGCTGCATGAGCCTATCGGACAATTACTTTAACCTTGAACGTATTTGTCAAGGTTACCCTTAAAATCATCGTTTGGCAAAAGGTCGGGGATGTTTCTGAAGATAAAGCAAAAATAAGGACTCAAAAATAGCAGAGGCCTCAGTTTCCCTGACTACTCTCTAGTGACCTTGAACTTACGTTGAATCTGACCTTCATGGTGATATCAAGGATTGGCCAATTTTTTTGCATGGAGGGGAAAGGTTTACTCTTGACATGACATGACCTTGACGTGCGACCTTCAAGGTTAAAATGATTATCACTAAAGGTCATATCTAGATATACTCAAGGCCAGATTCAAGATCACTTTGGAATAGCCAGGAAAAATCCTAAGCCCCTTCTATTTTACTTTTATTATAACCCCTGAGTATCCCCAAATATCTTGCGGGTACGGTACTTTTGGATCGCCCTGAATAAAACAATACTGCTCCAGATCGACTTGCTTATGATTTGGTTCTAGCTTTGATTAAAACCTTCCACTAGAAGATACTTTTTGAATTGAAAGCTGTGCCTACACAAAAATGAGCCACCAACCACCTATGTCCACAACTATATTCTTGTCGACCACGCGCTTTAGGTGTCAGCGTTGCAACTTTTCGGAATGTTGCTGCAGGTTATGGAATCTCCTTGTCTACATAGGTTTACTAACACATGAAAGTATCTGTTTTTTTAAATTCTTTTAAGCTGTTAATCATTTCGTTAAGAGTGAATTGTCTATTATCGTGGAGTACATGTATTTTAATTTCACTTTTTGTTTGTTGTGTTTATTTATTATGTATTTCTAACAGATTCTCCTACCGCTTTTCTTTGTATCAGCTTCTATGATTTTTACCGGCTAGAAGAATATTTTTTGTGATAAAAAAAGTCGCTGTATATGTATATATTTTTACCGTTACAGATTGAACACATTACGATTCTTGAGCTGTACCTATAATGTGATTTAACCTTTTAAAATGTTTTGTAATTGTAAAGTCCTTATTTATTTTATAATTATAAGTATTTTTCTGGCATATTTGCTCAAACGCATATATGATCTTCAAATTGATATTGACAAGTCTTATATCATGTAACATGATCTAATAGGACAATAAACTATCTATCTATCTATCTATCTATCTATCTGTCGTTGAGAAAACGAATTTCTAGGCACAACTACGGGTAAGGTTCAAGGGTTATCTTTTCTGTCTGAAGGTTGATGTCATGTTCAAGAATCAAACATTTTCGTTAAAAAAGAAAATCGAGTCTGCTTTTATCACATTTGGGGGAATCGTTGCTATTCTACTTGGCAATATTGCTATGGCGAGAAAAATTGTTTTGAAGGTCGAAATACAAAATAATCTTGAGAAAATTGGATGATTGGGTAATTAATGGTAATGCATCAAAAAAGGAATTTATAGAATTTTTCAAATGACGGACATGGGTACCCGAATTTTTCGTGAATCCGCATTACCCGACTGCCTATGAGAAAATTTTATAAAAAAATGGCGGATTTGAACAAAAAAAGGATCAGCTCACAGCTGGCGCAGCTCTATGTAATTTGTGACATAAATATGAGGTATCTTTAGCTTTGTCTTGACAGTGCCAGCGGCACTGGGTGTAATAAAATTTTATAAATCAGAATGGCGGATTTTAATCATCGGAAATTTCAGCATTGAAGTTCCTATTCCTCGGGTTACAGCTTAGACAGATTTGGACATACCGTCTCTAGATTTGTCTTGACAATACGAGTAATACTCAGACATACTAAGATTATATAAAACCTAAATGCAGAACTTTAAACGCAAAACACAACTTTGAAATGTGTACTTTAAGGGCTACAGTCAAAATGTCTTGATATCACAGTTACATCTCTATTCTTTTCACTGTAATCGGGTTGTTTGTATTTTTAGAAATGTTCTTGTTTTAGTGATACATTCTAGACAGTCAATGTCGCTCTCCAATGGACTTTAATATCTGTCT